AAGTAACGCATGGGGGAAAAAAATCAATCCTAAAGGATAAATTTTCCACAAAATATCATCGTGTGCAGAGGAGGATGAGGTAGTAGAAACTGCAACACGCAGTCAGGTCCTAAAGATGAGGAGAAACAATTGAGAGGGAACTGATGGGAAATGAGGGCTTCTTTATATCAGCTTAATGCCCCTACAGAGGGCAAGATTCAGATCCATAAAAGAGAACCCCAAATCTGCCATCATATAAAATACCTCATATACACTTATATATTTAGAGTCTACATATATCTACAATTCTATAAATTTTAATATATGCATTTATAGATTATATCTATAAAAATATAACTACTTCTATAGAGAGAGATAAATCATACATAGTATTTAGGGTGTTTCGACACAAAATGCATTCTCTTTCAGGTGTTTCGAGTGACTTGTTAAAACAGGAGTTATCACATGCAATATTTAACAGATGTCTGCTTTTAGACACTATGCCCATTGACAAGCTGTGGTTCTCCCTGAATTCTTTTATGCCCTAAAGCTTGGGTTTGCCTGGATTATTTCTCTCCTTCCTCCTCCCCCACCCATACCATTACCCCTTTCTCTTTTCTTCAGGGTCTGTTCATGAGTCAGCCACAAAGCTGAGAGACACACTGCAGTTTTGGTTTGCAACTGGTGTGAAGAGCCTTGACTTTTAATACTCTGCAGCATCCCTGTGTGCAGCTTCCTCTCAAGTTTTTTCTCTGAGGACAGTTGGAGCTGGATTGTGTCCCAGGGCTGCAAGACTGAGTTATTTGGTGATTATTTGTACCTTTATCCTCCTGGGTTCTGTTGAGTCATAGAGACACTCCTCAGAGTTTATAACAAGCACACTTTAGAATGGGAAAGAAGGCATGGATGTATTTCAGTTTAGAATTCTCCATCAGATGCTCGATAATTTTCCTTGGATAATTTATCTGTAGTGTACCCCTTTATTCCAGTGTTTGACCTACTCCTTCTTGAGCAGTGGAGAGCAGATGCATGGAGATTAATGTGATCAAATGAGCTCAGTGAAAGCTGAGGGTAAGCAACAAAGGATTCCTTACAGAGCAGAATTATTGCATAATTAGCTGTTATTTAGAATTGTTGTGTAATTAGTTGTAAAAGCCTAATTGTTGCATTTGCTCTCTGTACCCCTTTTTACAGGCCAGTTACTGTAGTCAAAATTTCAAATATCCTTTCCTAGGTATTAGCACAACTTTGGACAACAAAGTTACATTTTCTCTTGAGCAAAGTGCAGTCAAGATGCCAAAGGAACCAGACTTCCAAATTATAAGTACTGAGGACAATGGCACAATGCCAAATGTAGTAGAAAGAAAATAAATTATTAATATTTTGTTTGAACAAAATCAGGGCTTTAAAGTTTATTTCTTGTCTCTTACCTTCTATACAGCAGAAAACACTCTAATGCTACATCTCAAATGACTTAGAAACAATTTGAGTAGTCATGAAAAACAGAAGTACATATGAACATGTATGTGATATACATGGTGCAGGCACCAGCCTTACAAAACTAGAATATTATTAATTTTCATGGAGTTGCTCCTACTTTACACAGGTTTGGAAGGTGACTAGATGCCTGGCAATGTACACCACTAGTGACATTAGTCACTCCAGCAGGTTGATGCTTGCAGAGGAAGTACACATGTTATTTAAGAAACTAGTGGATGTACTGGTATGAAAGGCAGGAGACTGAGAAATAATTCCCTAGTGTGCCCTAGATTTCCCTAGGAAGTGTGACCAACTCATTACCCAGTGGAAAAGGATGTGGGGTGGTGGTTGGCAGTGGGTGGACATGAGCCAGCAGTGTGCCTAAGAAGGCCAATGGCATCCTTGTATCAAAAATAATGTGGCTACCAGGACCAGGGCAGTGGTTGTCCCTCTGTACTGAGCACTGGTGAGGCCACACCTCAAATTCTGTGCTCAGTTCTGGACCCCTCACTACAAGAAAGACATTGACATTTTTTCGCCCCTTTATCACGACAACTTATGATATACAGTCATATGATCTAGGGTGATTGGTCCTATGTAAAGGTTATTGCAGAAAGAGAAAGGGAATTCAGAAAACTTACTCATTTCCATGTATTCTGGAGTCAGTCCAGTGAAAGGTTCCAAGATGTAGTCAAGATCCCATTGTTGAGGGTCCTTTGAGTGGTTGGTGTTCGTTTCCTTTGGCTCAGTTCTTTCATCCTTCAGCTTCCTGAGAAGTTTCTTTAGCTTCCTGTGGAACAAAAATTCAGATTGAACCAAGTCTCTTTTTTCCCCCCTACAGGATTTGTCCCAAGTCTTTGTGCAGCAACACAAAATTTAGCTCAGGTTACTTTGGTGCACTGTAGGATGAGTTTATATCATCCTGTGAAGTTCTGATGCTACTTATTGACAGGTGACAGGCTGCTGGAGTTGAATCCAGTACTTTCAAAATTTTTTTTCTCTCTAGATATATATTCAATGGGGATCTTCCAGAATCTCAAGCACCTTGGATATAAATAATATTAATAAGTAATACACTCAGAAGCAACACACTGAGCACCTCTCCTTTAATAAAATACAAGAAGATAATGTGATAGCTTCATACCACATATATAGCACAGGTACACTTTTCTCTCACCATGAAAAATAAAATGACCAGATATGCACAGGCTGCCCAGGGAAGCTGTGGATGTCCCATCCCTGGAAGTGTCCAAGGCCAGGTTGGATGGAGCTCTGAGCAGCCTGATCTAGTAGAAGGTGTCCCTGCCCATGGCAATGGGGTTGGAACTGGAAGACCTTTAAGGTCCCTTTCAACCCAAACCATTCTGCAATTCTATAATGTTGCCAGGCAAAGAATGAGCAAGAATGTACTGATAGTATGAATATGAATATCAGTCACTGTCCTACTGAGATGGGATACAAATTTCATGACATTGTCAAATACATGAGAGTAAAATAAACCATTTTCTAAAAGACATAAGTATTCCCAATGCCTCCCACAGATTACATTTTAAATGCATATGAATCAACAGCTTCACACTATTTTACACACTGAGAATTTCCCATGGAAAAATGCAGTAGAATGAGCTATTCCTTCAAAATCAAGGAAGCAAAATAGTAGAATTAGCATAAAATAGCAAGGTTTATACTTTGTTTTGCAGATTATATTTATCTTTCACAAATACATATGACATCATTTTATAGTTCTTCAAATATGTGCCATATGAATGAAAATCCAGATTAACTCCAGTGATGTTTTGCCAGTACTGGAAGCTGAACTCTCCCACAAACTTTTCCCCCACAGCTTGTGATAAACCCTTTGAACTGTAGGTGTGTGGCCTGGAGACAAGAATATGTGGGGGAAGAAGTTTTCTTTTGTGCCTCCAGTGAAGCAGGACACTTTCTCCGACCCTAACTTCAGCAGCAGGGCAAGGCAAGCTGGCAAACACAATAAAGGCTTTGCTGGGTGGGTTTATTGCTTTATTCCTGAATTTACACTGAGCCACACAGGATCACTGTGACACCACATCACACAAGGCTCTATAGCAGCCTGGAAATGAGCACAGTGGCTGTGGAACTTCTACACTGACCAGTGTATACAGGACCTGTTCAGTTTCATGACCAGTATGGAGGAAATGGGGATTGGCAAATACTTTTGAAACAGATCAAGGTTGCATCAGGCCCTGTCAGTCCCAGGATCACAAAGCTTCAAAAACCAACAAGTAAACTCCAGCTTTTGTTTCAGGTGCAACGTAGATGTAGCTTTCAAGTCTGATCGTAACATTCTCAGCACTTTGGCAATATTGGGGCTAACCAAATACTTTTGGTACCCCAAACACTCAGTTTGCACAGTTTTCATAAAAGGGTGGGGGAAGATTTAAAAAACTTCACAAGAAAGAATTAGATGAATCCTTGCAAAGACATTTACCTCCTATATCATGCAAACTCAGCCATTTCAAGACACTAAAATTCTCTTTCTCCTCCTCTGCTTTTATGACAATCGAGGGAACTTGGCTGTGACAGAGGTGATGTACTATTCAGAGGATAGGAGACTGGGGCAGGATTTAAAACAAGCAAAGAATTCCCAGAATGCTCTTCCAATGTATCCCAATTAATTTCCTAATGCAAGGGACTCTCAGAGGACAGTAAACAGTAAGTTCAAGACAGTGCTGATTTCTGTTCCAGTATAATGATACGAGCTATAAATCTGTGGGCACGTGAGATTGAAGATTAATCACTGTGCAGCAGCTGAGATAAGGTTTGGGTGTGTTTAGTTGTGAAGTCTGTGCACGTGTGATCTAATCCTCTGGTGATAGCACCACAGAATTGAGTTATGGAGTTTAATGCATACACATACATCCCACGAGAATCTAGTAACTAAAACAATAGTTGCTGTTTTGAATATTTATTTGGGAATACACTAAATCGAGGGCTCAGTCACTCAAGATAATTTCTAATTTTTCATCTGGCTATCTATAAGACAGGCATGAGCAGATCCTTTAACCATTTGGAGTTCAGCTTTGAAGAGTGTCTCTATGCTTATTTTTATGTATTTTTTTACAAGATCAACTGACTGAAAGCAAGCCAAACCAATTATTTCAAATTTTCCACAAAAAATAATACCTTTGTGCCATATCCAAGCATGTGAAGTCTGAGACCAAACAGAAATGTGTCAGAAAGTTAAAGGAACAGAGAACAAGGATTTACAGATTGTTATTCTCCAGCTATACTGCAGTAGGGCAATGAAAATGAGTTTTGCAGGACTTTATAGCTGTACATACAATTGTGATATTAAAACTGAGTACACGTTTTTAATGCACTTGTTTGAAACCTGCATTTTAGTTACTCAGATCAACATTTTTAAACAAGGTTGACAACTAAGGGTTATTTTAGCTTCTCATTTCTGTGTGCCAGGCAGCCCCACACAGTGAGGAAGAGGTAGGTTTGCCCATTGAGATGAGATTTGAGAAGCTTTGTGCTGAAGAGGCACATGCAGCAGTTTCAGGACCTCACCAGTAGCCACATGAATCTGGACAAACAGAAAACTGTAGAGCTGTAGAACAGACATTATTACTGGTCCTTTTGCCAGTGATTATCAAAAATCAAGATGCATTCTTAAAAGCACAGAACAACATGAAAGAAGAATGAATGTAGGGTCAGAGAAAGAAGATGAATAGGCTTTGGTCAGGCTATGTCTAGAGCAGTTAGATGTGACACTGCAGGGATCTGTAGGAATTTGTCACAAGGGATTGGCACAAAAATATTGTGTTAAATAAGAGGTGGGAACATGGTTGAATGATGCTGTTTGTAATTCCCAATATAACCAATAAGCATTGCATTATGCAAGGTAATCAGCATCTGAAGACACCATAAAATCACTACAGCCCCACCCCTGAATAAACTTTGAGCTTTTGAGAAAAAAAAAGGGGAAAAGAAGAGAGAAGTCAAACCCTAAGTGATCCTGGCTCGGATGTAAGCACATGGTGCACTTAGATGAAACCTCCTTTTTAGAAAAAAAAATAGAAAGATGACTCAATAGTTTCTCAATTTATACAGTAAGAAGGTGTAACAGGATTTGGAGAACTAGGGGATGACATGATGATGACTTAGGAAAAATGAGAAATTTGTGGAGTGGAACATACAGAGGCTGTGGTGGACTCTATGGGAGTTTCAATTGTGTTTAGTAATTATTGGTTTCTCAATCAGAGGAAAACAACAAAAAAAAAAGGGGGTCGGGGGAAGAAAGGAAAAAGCCCTCTTTAATTGAGAATAATTTAGTAAAGGTGAAGAAGAACAAAATATAATACCTATGAAGAGGTGTCTTTAAAAGGATTTTATTAACTCTTGGTATTCTCATCCAGCATAATTAAGTGCATTTTGAAGTAAGCAGTGGAAAATGATGCTGAATAAAAAGGCCAAGATTCATGGCCTCACTAAATTCAATAGAGTTTGCCATTGACTTCAATAGGGCCAGGATTTCACCCTAAGGGTTTAGCACCAAGGTCAAAGACAGAGAGTAATAAAATAACCACATGGATGGTTTTTTCAACATGTTCAGAAAAAAAACAGAAAAGAAGAAAAGGGACCTTAAAGGAACTCTAGGTTAAGGCTTTTAAGCCCTGCAGCCTTTTAGGGTCAATTCCTATGGCAACAGTAAAAGAATGATGGTATGTGACACATCTGAGTGAACTGTGGCATATTTACATCTGTTAAACTTGTGGATTCCAGCCCCACATAACACACATTTCAGTTTAAGAGGGCTTAGTTTTCTGTAATTCAAATGTTGCTACATTTGCTTAGCTGTTTTGATATTCTTGGGTGCAGAAATTTAAAAGAAAAAAATCACAGAAAGGTTTAGGAGTCCAGCAAGTCACATTTATCATAGCTGTGCAGTAGTTTCTACAGCAGCATTGAAGGAAAAGGCAAGGATGTGTCCCCCATGATCTCAAGTAATGCAGAGCTGCCATCTGAAGTTTACCTCCTCATCCAGCACTGACCATGGGCAAAGCAGAATGAAGGCATTGAGCATTTGTGATTCTAGAGATACGATGGATGTCTGTTGCTTGTAAACTCAGTATATCCTCTGTTTAGTAATTTGTTTTTTGAGGGAAAGCAAATGGGAGTAATGTTCTCTGACCTTCTGCAAAGTTACTAAAATGCCTTGTGTTTTCTGGTGAATGAAATCCACGTTGGGCACCGAAAAAGGACTGTCATGGTTTA